GAAGCCACAAAGACCTCAGGGCAAAGATTTCAGCAGCTTCTGTGTGTGGGACACACAGAAGGAGCAGTCTGAAGGAGTATTGTTGGGTCACTGCTGAAAATCTTGGCCTGTGAATTGATTTAGTGAGAGATACTGTACACTGCTACTTTCCTCAGGGCCAGCCTGCTATTTGTGAGATGCTATTTATGAGATGAGTTTCACCGTCAGCTCACAAGGAACAGCATGAGTGTCAGGTAGTCAGGACTCGTATCATCTAATCCACTGATTATTTCGAAAGTGTGATGAATCGTGCCTGTTATTCCCTACCAGTTATTCTCTAGTTCTGAAATCTGGCCATCCAGTTAGGAAAGGATTGCAACTTCCTTTAACTCTGGGTCTGGATTGGCAAACTAGCCAATCCACTGCTGGACATTACCAGGTATAGTCAGGTGACTGTTCATCAAAATCATGCATTGAAGGGAATACAAAACAACAGACAAGAGCAACCCAGCTCTCCCTCTCCTCTACTTATCCTCCCATATCTTTTTTGACAGATTTTTGAGATTAGATGCAGTGATTTAGGAATAAAATCAATTTGTCCATAATATCATTAACTTCCCCCTTTTAAAAAATTTCCTCCCCCTCACTACAGAACAACTAGAAGTGCAGTTTGCCCTAGAAGCAAGCAACACCCAATCCAAGCCCTTTCTGTAACCACCGATCACACTGAGCTCATAGCTTCCTCACCCCACCTGCCTTTTTCTTCTTCCCTGTGGGAAGACTTTCTTACTAGCCAAAAGGGAAGGCTTTTTTTCTTTCTTTTCGTATGTCAGCATAAGGAATTAAGTACAGCAGGGAGACTCTGCCATGTTAAAGGTCAGTTGCATAAGTTCTCCTAAATGGCAATTAAATGATTCTATGACAAACAGGATGCACTTGGAGTGCAGACATCAGCTCCGACCTTGGGACCTGGGAGAGTCTGGGAAAGAAAAAAAAGCGCTTTGGGAAAATAAACATAACACCCAAAACTGTAAAAGCAGATGAATCAGCAGAGAAACACTATCATTTTCCTTACATCGCTAAGGAAATGCAAGATACAGTAACACTTTAATTTCTTGCTCAAAGACACAGTGTGAAGATCAGCTGTTCATCCTACCCAGCTAAGAACAACCTGCCAAGTTACACAGTGCCAGTCCTGTGAATGGCCAGGCATTCCAGCAATCAGAGGGCAGAAAAGTCATAGTAGGGGGACATCAGCTGAAAGGTACATAGCTCTGTGGAAAGAGTCTGGGAAAGAGGTGACGCATGATTACATGAATGAGAGAAGAAAAAGCAACACTGGGAGGGAGAGGATGGGAGAAGCGGTCCCAAAGAGATGCTCCTAGCCAAAAGCTGGACTGAAGCCTCTAAGATGAGAGTTCAGACACATAATGTTAGCCACATGAAAAGAACCATGTCTGAACCACAGCATCTTGCAGGATAGACCCACTCACCTCATCAAATTGATTGCATGTACATAGGTTGCTCTGAAAGTAATGCCTTCTATTTATTTATATGAAAACTACGACAGAAACAAAGAGCACAAGAACACTATTTGATAGAGAAAGTCTCAGCTGCAAAATTCTATTTTTCGACATTCTCACCACCATTAGCTATGCATTTTCACCAGCAGTGAAAAAGAGCCTGCATGCTGCACTCATAAAAATCTGCATGGCTGTCCAATGTGTCACAATGTGGCTTGTCTTTCACGTCACTGTTGCCACTGCTGAAACGAACCATCCGCCAGCTCTCTGTGCTCACATCCATTGTTTGGTCTCCATAAGTGTTCAGCAAGTGTCAGTGAATGTTAGTGGAGAAATTCAGTGACACACCTTTGCTTCATTTGCACTTCCATGTCAGACACCATTTTGTCAAACTGCCCTTCTACTGACATCTGTTGTACAGCAACAGCATGTAATGGAGTATTGGTGGGAAGGTTCAACCTCTACTGCCATACCACCAATATCCATCTCTGATGTCGTGGACCAAAATAATAAAATAGGAGACATTGCTTTTAGAGCAGCCCTCATATCTCAGCAGGAGACTGGCTTGCTGGGAGGGTTTCACATTTAACTTTTTCCTACATGAGTTTTTGCTGGAGCCTGAGACCCTTCTGCTCTGCTGGACACATGGAGAAGATTGAGGTCTGCAAGTAGAAAGACTGCAGGGTGGATCCATAAGGACCAGATGTTCTGGATGTCTCATATTTTCTGTCCGGGTCGAACAATCCAGAATGTATAGCAAAAGGGATGTGTAGACCCCTATGAATGCTTCAGGATAGGCAAATATGATTAGCTGCACAAATCTGGAAATTGTCAGTGAACCAAATGCTTTTCTGACAAACAAGACGCTGACTTGCTCTAAAAGTTCACTGGGCACAATATGATGAGGGAAGGAAGGAAGCAATAAAAAGCACCATGAATGAGAATGAAAGAAAACTCTTCCATCTAGCTTGCCAGCTAGTTCCAGATCTTCAAGATTTGGAGGGGATGTAAGAGAAACTTAAGCCCAAAGATGCTCTCAGTGCCATTCCTGAGAACAGTTGTGAGATGTATAGGCTTGCTCAGGTGAAGTGACTGGGAGCAAAAAGAGGGAAACGCAGCACAGTTTGTTCTATGATGGGTGTCCTTGGAAGACAATTCGGAGTTTGGGATGAGCAAAGGACAGAATGGAGGAACAGGTAAGGTATCTTCAGCTAAATAAACAGGGGAAACGAAAAAAAGAAAGCTGAAAGTAAGGGTTCCTTGGTCTTTCAGCAACAAAAGCAAAAAAAGATATTCCTTGTGGAAGGCAAGTAAATTCCCAGTAACTTTAGGATGACTCAACACTCTGGGAAGTGCCAACAGCTTGCACTGTAGCACATCACAGAGCACCAATTAAACATCTCAGGGATGAGAGAAGTGGGTCTGAAATTATAGAGGTAAAAAGGCAATCCAGGCCTGGACTTCCCCCTCTGTGTCTTTTCTCCAAATCTCTCTTTGCCAGTGAGAAGTGACCTTGGAAAATATGAAGAATGGGATGGGGAAGCAAAATTCACTTGGCAACAACAAATTTCAGGGCTAGAAAGGAGAACTGAAGAGGATCCAGAGGCTGAGTTCCTGACCTCAAGGAGAATCCTGAGGGATATTTCAGCCACATTAATTCCAGCAGGCAGCGGGACATCCTGGCAGGAGACACTGCAGGGAGGGAGAGACTGAAATGAAGGGAAATGCTCTTGTCTAAACTAGGCTGATTAATGCTGTAGGAACCAAGGGTCTGCTCTCTGGTTTTGCAGTGCACAGCGATTCACCAGTCTGTCCATGGCAACAGGTGAAAAATAGACAGTAGACAACAGCCTGTAGGATCTCTCAATGAAAACTCAGACATGGCATGAAATCCTAAAAGTTCAAGGACAAACTGGTGTAAAAATGCTTCTCTATTCCCTCCCCTGTGGTACTATTTTCTAGATCCCAACTCAAGAGCAGAAACAGAAATTCTAGAGAAGAGCTAGTTATTGTCTTGTCATTTTCACAAAAACATCCCATTCCCAGTTTGCCAGCAGAGCTGGGAGGCTGCATGCAAACCTCCCAGGACTGAGCAGAACCAAGCCAGCAGATGATAACAATAATATACCTCATCAGATGACAATTTGATCTCAACATCTGGCTCTGTGCTTGAGCCTTTTGGCCAACTGGAACATCCTGGCAGCAGTAAGCATTTAATGGGGGCTCTGCATCCTCGGGATCTCAGTCCGCAGTCAAGATCCTGTAGCACAGGAGTTCAGATTTCACCCAGGATGAAAGATGTGATGCCCCAGCAAGAACAAAAACCACATTCACCTTTCTGTGGCACCATTCATGAAGAGCACCCTACAATAAATGTATGACTTATTTCATTTTGGCTAGGGAGAAACAACATTTATCTGCACTAGACAGATGTTTAAGAGCTGAAGAAGTGTACAGCATCCTATCAAAGCACAGGAGAGTGCAAGTTGGAAGAGTGCAAATTAGCAGAGCTGGAACACAGCCATAACACTGGCATTTGCACCAGAGCCACAATCAGACATACTAGAGAATTTCCAAAGACCAGAGCTGGTCAGGAGCTCAGATTTATATCTATCAACCCACAACCTTGAATACCAGGTGAGGGTGTTGGCTGATGGTTGCTTCAAGGAATAAAAATGCCACCTTTAGTTACAACGCCTGTAGCAACCATAATGCTCTGTAGGTCTCCCACCCAAGCAGCAGTCCAGTTTGCTTTATGGGCACAGATGGGAGTAGAACACCTGAGGATAAGGATAAAGGTCTCTGAATCACGTAGGTAAAGCGGTGGAGTTCTTGACTATAAACTGTGGGGAGAGGTAGCACATTTTAACTGGAACAAGCAAGTTAAAAGGAAAAAATAAGCAAGTTTCAGGGAGATGTAAGTCTTCCTTTGGGTTTGAGATGGATTCATCAGCCTGCAGACTACCTACGGGTCCAGAATAGAGAATGGATATCCTTGTTTTAGTTATTTTCTCTCCAGTAATTTAATTAAAGACAGTTTTGGAACATTTTGTTGATATCTTCCAAGCTTTAAGTATTGTCAGAGCCAAAGTTGCAAATGCCCAGTTGTATTAATATTGGAAAACAGTTCCTCTTCATCTCAGTAGTTACTTCCCTGGAGATAATGCCCTCCTGTAAGACCTCACCATGTGAGCTGTTACAGTTTCTTCTAAGTCTATAAAATGGTAACAACAGCAGAATAAAAATCTCTCTTTGTAACAGGGAGGGAGGTACTGTATTTACTGTATTTGCTGATACACATCAAGAGAAGAGAGGTACAGGGTGGGAAGAAAGAGAAAGAGGTAGCTTTGTTCTCATAGCAGTTTGCTCAACAAAGCTCAGACTGTTTCACTGATAGTAGATGCTGCATGTTTATTCTGAAAATTTATGGTTTAATTAATTTTGGGGTGAGATAGCGAACATGGTTCAGTGCCAGATCAGGTGAAATATGATCCCAGCATTTCAAGAATTCAAGTGGCTGAGGGGGGGTTAACTGAATGGCACCCGAAATCTAATAAAAGCTAGCACAATGGGAAACACTCGTATCTTAAAGGAGGATCTCTGGAGATTTTAAACATGTCAAGCAGCATGGTGGGGATGGGGAGTGGGATGGAATCATACAGGACTTCAGGATGTCATGCAGATTTCTTTCCTTGAAATTCAGCAGTTGAGCTCATGCTTCAGGTTCATTCCCCTTGTGCAAGTAATATTGCATGCATATGTTTTATGCAAGAACAAAGCCGTATTTCACAGCTGCAGTATTCCATGGCATCTACAGATGCAGCATCATATCTCAAGCTATTCTCTTCTTCAGAACAAGGAAGTGATATTTTTCACTGTTTATGAATGAGGAACAAAGTCACAGGACACAGAGGATTTGAACAGCAAAAATAAAGACTGAAGCCCACATCATCATCTGTAAATGATGGCTCTGCCACTGCACAGCCCTTCCCCTGAGCACTGGGGGAGGAACCTGCACTTAGAATACTAAAACAGGACAGACATCCCTGGGTCTGATCCATGTCTTTTGCAGCCTGCGTGTAGAGCAGGGATTTAAATGCCTCTCTAGAAGTGCTCAGAGGAGAGCTCATGCCATAAGCTGGAATTGTCTATAGCAACTCCCTTTATGCTAGAAGGGACTATCTGAATCAAACAGGCCAACCTTTGCCTTCTTATTTCCCTTAAATCCTGCTGCTTTCAGTTCTGTGATGAGAAACAATCCCAGCTTGCCTCTGGCACTGCAGCCAGGCATCTCAGGCCAGTTCTATGGGAAATGCTGGTCTCTGTAGATGATGTGACCCTCTGAGATGCCTCAACTTTAAGCCTCAGAGATGGGATGTAAGAACTCGGTCTCTGGAGAGCCTGCTCTGTTACCAACAGCTTGTCCCAGCTAATGACCCGCAGTATTTGGCAGGGAAGACAAAAAAGTAAATAAAAATATTTCCTTTCCCACCTCCTTGTGAATTTTCCTACAAACGAGTTAGGTTACAGCTTCTGCTGCATCACACATGTACCTTTTCATTTCAGTGTTTGGTCCTGACCTTTGCTCACAGCATTCAGTCTCCCATGCACACCCTGCTTACTCTCCTTTTGTAATTTATGACACACACTGTACACCCATTTCCTTCTGCCCTTAACTCGCCTGCGTGTGTTCTTGTTATCTCAGCTGCTCCGTAGATTTGCCATATTCTAGCTAGCTTCCAAGACTGTTCTCATAACGGACTTTCTCCCAGATGATATTCCACTATTTATGAGGGATTCAGCTCAGTCTGTGAATACATACAGATTGCTATGACTTCCCAGTCTGACCTATAGCCTTTCCTCTTAAGTGAGGGGGAATGAAGTCTCTGCAATACACCATTTCTTCTTGTTTTTTGAGGGGTGCATGTTTCATTCAGTTTTTGACGCTACCAGTCAGATTTCTATGCTGACCCCTCCAAACTGGAAAAACAGCACTGTACACGGCTCTTCCTCAAAGATTTCTCTTGTCTTTGGAGGCAGGTGACAATAGGCTTTCTTGGGTTAACGCTTCTCCTATTATTTACAGCTATAAATGGTAACACTAATGAAAACGTCTTCCAATCGCTTCCAGATAAGGTTCTTGTCAGCCTGTGAATCTTTAGCAATAATTTATTCCTTCTCCATTCTGACTTTGTAGAAAATCATCACAGTGCTCCAATGGTATCTACTGAATTTCAGACTGTCTTGCCTCCCCAAGTCATCAGCTACCTCCAACTTTCTCCTTTCTTCTGGAAGACATGGAGCACAAGGGAAAGATCTGGAAAGATCTTGGCACCTGCTGGAGAGCAGAAGGAGAGGCGCCTGGGAGGAATGAGGGGGCACAGGGCTTCTGAGTGAGGACAGGTAATGCAGGGTGGTCAGCTGATGACCATCTCTTGCAATGGAGACTTGCTACCTGGGCAGTGGTGTGGTTGAGGTGTAGGAATAAGATGGATCCTGTGATGGCATTTAGCAATGCCTTGTTTAGAAGTGGAGAAGCTGGAGGAAAATGAAATTCTGCAGGTATTCTTCTGAGGATCCAGGTTTCCATTTTCTCCTGGTGACACAACTGTGTTGTTCTGAGGTCTTCACTGCCTAACTTCCAGTTATGAGTATTGTGCATGACACAAAGGATTTGATGACAGAAGCACAGCACTTGTTGTCCTTACTGCTGGCCTCAGGAATTCCAGGCTGTGCTTTCTCCCCTACGTTCTCCCATTCTCCTCTCTGCCCACAGATGAAGCCTTGTTTAACACATCTGCCTTTCTACAAGTGGACAGGAGGGGATGAGGATCTGTGCAACGGTTGTGTAACTCTTTCCTTGTTTATCCAGATGGCTTTTCAGTGGCAGAAGTTATCTGAATGATGAATGCATGTTCCTTTTAGGACAGGATCCATTTCCTGGGATGTGTCACCTGGCTCTTTCTTCTCAGGTCATTTCCCTGAGCATCTGAGCAGCTGGCTCACATTTCTGGGGTCTTCTGGTATTTAGCTGAGGTTGACTTCAGACACTGAGCTGCAGGGTGGGAGTGGGAGAGGAAGAGGAGGGAACTTCCAGAAGCAAATCAAGATATAAATATCTGTCTGCGCTTCAACCAGAGGTGTAATTGGAACCTACAGAATGGTACCCAAGATAGCTTTGATCTTATTACCCCATGTCTTTACATGAACAAAGCCACAGTGTTGTTTGCATCAGAACAATAAAGCATCTAAGGTGGCTTGAGGAAGAACATCGCAAAGACCAAGTATTTGTAACCCTGCTGGAATACATTCTTTCACCTAGCATTCTTCAAGCATTTGGCTACTTTCCTTCTAATGAAGATTGCTGCTATTTGCCTTATTTGCTGTGACAGTGCACTGTCAGCACATCTTCAACATAATATCCATCATAACCTCTAAGTCCTTCTGGTGAGGGCTGCTACTCAGCCAGATGCTTCCCAGTTAGTGTCAATGGTACTATGAGTACTCCATGAATACTCCTCTTTTCTGAAAGTTGTAAAGCTCCTGTTTGTCCAGGCTTCAAAAATTTCTCTATCTTACCCAAAAGTTCTGGATGTTTTGAAATATCAAACATTCCATTTAAGTTAATAACACCTGCAAATTTGATAGGGATTTATTTTGTCATTATCCAGGTCCAGGTAATGAAAATAATACCACAGTAGAGACCCCAGTGGTAATACATTAGGTACCTGCCACCTCTGGTGGACATCAAGCCAAGGAGTGCTACTCCTTGAATCTAGCACTCCAGACAATTTCATGTTTTGTTTGTTTGTTTGTTTTTTACCAATCCAAAATCTCAATCATCTAGTCTACCCTCCTTCAGTATGCAGTGACAGATTGTATCTGAAGTCCAAATAAATCAAGGTATATGATATCTACTGCTCTCCCCTTATCCACATGGTCAGACCTTTCATCACAAAGGGCAATTGGGTTGGTTAAGCCTGATTTGTACTTTACCGAGCTGATCATTCCAATTTCTTAAAACAGAATTTATGAGATCTGATACCAGCCTTTGGCTTTCCATTAATACAGTTCCGAGAGGCAGCAAATTTAATCAGTGACCCATTGCAAAGAGAATGTCTGAACACCTCACCTCTCTTCTCCAAAAGCATTTGTTTATTTGTCTCTATCCCATGTGGTTATCAATTGAACTAATTAAGATTTTTACACTTCTGAGGCACCCTCTGTTGTCTGTGCAGACTTATTAAGTACCACTAAATGAAAATTTTCAAACTCATAAGAAGTTACAGATGAAGGTGTTCACTGCTGTTAAAATAAGAGCTGTAACAACTTAAGGAATATAGTTCTTTAACATCCTAAAAACACTGAAAAGGTCATAGCATGTAAGAGAATGAGAATTTAATGAATCTCACTGTCAGCAGCCTTTTCCAGTCCATTTCTTGGATTCATATGATTGCCATTTCATTTCAGACTCTGACAGCAACATATGGTGACTTACATGAAAGAGGCAAACATCCTCCTTTCCCACCTTTCTCCTGCACCAGCAATTCAGGACCCCATGCACTGAATAACGGAGTTTTAGTTTTCAATCAGTTAAATCAAACTGACACCTTCACAATTAATTCATTGACTTTAAACACTGCATAATTACTGGAGAAGCTTTCCTTATCTGCTCAAGGCATGGCACAAAAACACATTTTAAATTCTCCAGTAAAGAAAGGGCCTCTTTTTTGGTGATATTTCAAAGTAGAGAGGAACAAACTATATAACACTACTTAAGAAGACCACTGCTTCCTTAAACAGAAGAATCTAAAAATATATCTGTAGGTTGGGATTATTATTTTGATTCTTGCCTTTATTTTAATCACTGTTCATTTAAGAAATAAATGAAATCATAAACTGATAAACATCCCACCATTGTTCGGACTACTGCTTGCCTTCCATTGCTGACAGCACACGGCACTGATTTCAGTGGACTCTTAAGCTATGATGCAATTTGGAAAAATCTGTTGAATTAGCATATTAATAATGGAATGAAATTTCCAGGTGCCTTTGTATCTGCTGACTTGGAGAAGATTTCTCATCTTCATGCAAATTTGCCTGCATTTTCACTTGTAACTGTTAGTTTATTCAGGGCAGGAAAACCTAAGAGGACTGACAGTATTTCCAACTTGAAAAGCTTGGAGGCAACCACATTACAAACAAAACGGTATTATTAAAAAGTACAACATCTACAAAAGGCATAGACTGAAGCTCCAAACCTTCTACTGCATGGGTGACCACTGTTCCAACTAAAGCCATATGGTGATAAGAAGGTCGTTCCACAAATAAGATGTTAATTCCTCATCATAAAAGTATCTTTCCTCTGGTTGGTTCTGGCACACATAGGGGAAGAAATGGATCCAGTATCTTCTCCTCACATTGCTAGGCAACACACAGTACTGTCAAGGAGCCAGGTGGCTGCATTCAAGGGCTTGCTTCCAGATTAAAACCAGATATCTATCAAAAATAACAGAGCCTGTACCTATACAGCCTTTGGGAGATGTGCTCATGTTCCAGATCTGGTCTGCAGAGCAATTCCCGTTAACCAGATTTTGTAGACCCCGTGCACAGATGGGAACCAGTCATGCCTGCCCTGTACCTGAGTTTCCTTGCCTGAATAGACAGATAACTTGCCACAGATCGGAGCCAAAGGAGCAGAGTAGCCATCATGTGGGCAGTGCAGACAGTCAGCAAGTTAAGCTCTCATTTGAATTTCTAGACTCATCCGCTCAAGAGATTACAGGCAAAGCCAAAATCTGCTGTGATATTCTTGCCAAGGGTGAAGGAAATCAATAGGCTGCAGTATAGGCTTACACATGGAGACATACCAAGTGTGCTTGGATGCATGGTTCCCAAATTAAACAGGAAAAACAAACAGGTCTCTGTTGGAAGCCTGAGAGTTGTTTGCAACATGCTTCTCCCTGTGTTCATCAAAGTGCCATGGCTGCCTGTAACTCTATCACCTGCAGAAGCAGCACAGCAGCCCCTCAGCCTCATCCTTGTCATCTTCTTCCTCTCTATGAAGAAGGCAGAACCATAGCTGTGTCCTGCTTTGGGCTAAGTCCCTAATTGCTACTTGTCCCCATGCTGCAGGAAGGGCGACTCTCGTAGCCTGTTGCTAAGAGCTGGTCCTCTCTGCACAAGCAAAACTGCAGAGATCTTAGCGTTGGTGGTGATGGGAAACTACAGCATCCTTCTTCTATGAAGCCATAGAAAATGCAAATGTTTTCTACCACAGGAGGAATTCAACCCACCGCACGCAGGTAGGAGCGCAAAAACAATTTTGCTATTTATATCAGTCTCAGAACAGAGACATTCAGTGAACCTTTCCCAAAACATTAAGAATTTGAGTGTGAGGTGGGAAACTGTAACACGATTCTGTTCCTGTTGGACAGTTGTAGCAAAAGAACCCCACCAACTGAACAAACAAACAATTCAAACAAATAGGGAGGAAGAAGAAAACGCTGCCTTTTTTTTTTTTTTTCTTTTCTTTTTTTCAGCTTACCAGTCAGAAAAAGGTTGGCATCTTAAAACCAGCAATATTTCAGTGTCTCCTTAAAAGGATCCATTCTTCTAAGCCAGAAGAAATGAAGGAGGTTATGTGTAATAGCACCCTCTGGTGAATCCTGTCATAAAACAATCCCTGGCCCTGTGGATGGAAAGGATACAGCTGCAAACCATCCCAGAAGAGGACTATAAGTATAGGTGACACTTTGTAAAAGGGGAGAAAGGAGGAGACACCCTCATCTCAAAAGAAAGAGAGCAGATCCATTGGATGCTGCCAGGAATCCCCAGCTGTGCTGGCCTTCTGTGATATAGCTGTTGAGGCATCTCCAATTTAAACCACTGAGTCTCTGGCCTTGGAGAGCAAGGCTACAATTGTATTTCCAAGGATCTGTCTTGCCCCCTTTTCCTTCTTGTCTCTTTTTTCCCCAGCCCACAAACTGAGGGACTACTTAGAGAGATGGGGAGCACACAGTGTGATGCATTCAACTGGAGCCTCTGTCCCATAGACCAAGGCACTGCTGGAATTACCCAGAGTCCTGTTGAATGCAAAGTGTGTGCCAGAAGCAGAAGAGCACATGGAGCTCACCACCCAACGTAGATTAAACCAGCTTGGAAAGTTTTACAAGAAAAAGCATTTTTTCTTGCAATAGGCTGAGTGGCTGGCTGGCAACTCAACCATGAGAAGATCTGGCCTGTATGCAAGTCTGCAAATAATACATACGCTTATTTATGCAATTCCATCTCCAAGGAGAGAAGGAAGTGGAGAAGAATGGCAACTCAATGAAGGAACAACATGACCAACAGAAGAAAGTTCTCTGACTGCATACCCATATCCTATGCTTACTAAAGGTACCTTAAGGCCACCAAAAATAAATAGAACAAGGAAGGGAAACCAGTATACTCCCTTTACAAAGCCTCTCCTAAATGCTTCTGCTGAAGCACCATGAAATTCAGCTCTCGAACACAGACTTGTTCTGTCATGTGTTTGCTAGGATATAGCAAGCACTTTACTGTGACTCTTCTATGCCCCTTACAAGAGCTCTGCCCATCTCTATCAGTGCAGAGCTGTAGAACCACTTTTGCTAGGAAACATCAAGCTCACACAGGGCAAGAAGCTCAAGTATGAGCTTTCTCCTCAAAACCGCTCTACATCCTTGTTTCTCCTGCCTCTTTTTTCCTCTCAAGGACATCCTTTTCATATTGCCCTCTTTTTCTGGACTCTTGATTCCAAAATATGAGGGAAGGTTCAGGACAGCAATGAATCTGAGACCACTTACCAGTTTCTAGCATTTTCTTCTCATATACCTGCAGAAACAGTAGGTGTGTTTGAGTTAGATACCTACAACGATGCTGAAGTGGTTTGCAAAATCTTGTGGTTGACTTGATAACTGCTCCCTATCCAACTAAGTACACTGATGAGTCATGCAAAAATGCCGAAAGGTAGATAATATGGAGACTAACTTTCTTTGAAGAGCTTGGCTCTATCTGAGAGGACTAACAAAAGCCAAACCCCTCCCATACCCAACAAAGAAAGATCCCCACTGAGCTGTGTCTAAAAGTAGGTGGTATACATCACTAACAAACCTCTCTCATCTCCTACTAACTCCAGCCAGCTGCCAGATGAGCCCTGCTGAAAAAGAAAGCTTGAAAGTCTTCTAACTGCCTTCCTTTGTAGATGCCCCAGATGCCCCATCTCACCTCTCTCACCTCCTCATTCCCCTCTGTCCTTAACTCAGCTTGCCATTTAACTCACCTGGGATGCAATTAACCAGGAAACTCCACTGAAGAGTTCATTACAGAGATAAATGTCTACCTCTAGTTCTGAGCTTACCCAGTCACAGCACTAAACCTCCCACCAAAATGTCCTTCCAGTTACAGAACTACTTGTCCTATAAAACTGTGAGCCTGAGGTTTGTGTTCATAATGCTTTCCCAGGTGTGAGAAACACTGTGCCCTACATGCATGGAGACATGATCAATGACTATGTGTTTTAATTCTCAGCAGAATAATTAACAGGCACAGAAATAAAATTTCATCTGAGAATCAAAACAGAAAGCTCCATTAAAATTCAATAGAAAGTTAACTAGCCCTCCGCATTTCACACCGCACAATTTCTAACTGAACACTTAAGTATTTGCTATTCCAAACCAGCTCCATCCTTTTAAACTCAGAACTCACCACAGAGTGCAGGGCTTCTAAACATTTCCATCCAATTTTTATTCATGAAGGGAAAAGCTGAGGCACAAAGAGGTGAGAAATAGACTTAGAAACAGAGCTCTCCCCTGCCCTGCCAATGTGTTATCCAGCATTTAAGTTATCAGACAGTACTGACTCCTCTGTTTTCTTCCTTTTTCATAAAATATTTTTAACAAGTAATCAAGGGAAGAAAAAAACAAAACCCAAACCTCAGAAGACATAGCCTCAAACTCCAACATGTTACCATAGCTGGGATAGATCTTTCCAGCCAGAGAAGGATCGTGTTGCAGCTAACATAACTGCTAATGCTATGCAGGACTGGTCCATTCCTAAACCCTATCCCTTCATTTGGTAAGAGGGAATTGCATCAGCATCAGTCACCCATACCCATTTCCATACTTTGCTTGAAAGACCTACATGCCATTTTCTTCCTTATGATTATGCTTTATTATTTCAATTACATCAGTGCCTGGAGGCCTTGGGATAGACCAAGTCTCTATTGTATTCATTGCTGAATTTACACAATGACGTACAATTATGGCAGTGAAGTTCCTGAAGCACAGTATGCTGTGAGCTGGAAAGGCATTTGGGGTAATAAAAACGGGAAGTTAACGATAACATGTTCCCAACCAAGACACAGTGAAATCATTGTGAATTCCATTATGGGTAGGTGATTTAGCTTTGATGGTGCATCACTGCAGGGAACAACCTTGATGTAAGTGTCATAAGGCTTGGCAAAGTGTCAAACCCACACGCAATAGAGATACAGGGCCAAAGCATTTTGGCAGATCCTCTGTGGACCCTTCCTGCCCCTTCAAAGCTTTTTCCTCAACAATTCCCTGTTGTACCTAATATGCATGAATATCATAGCTGTATTAGAGCTAGACTACAACAGAGTTGGGACAAAGATTGCCCTTAGTTTTTCTTCTTTTTCTTTTTTTTTTTTTTTTTTTCCTTTTTTTTTTTTTCTTTTTTTCTTTTTTAAGTCTTCTGTGTTTCCTGGCTCTTGTGGATTGGAGTCACACCCTTGATGTAACTTCGTTGTGGTTCATTTTTCTTGTGGTCTAATTAAATCCGGCTCCAGACAGAGTTGTATGTTAGCACAAATGGGAGGATGAGGCAGGAATCCAGAGATCTAGGAATCGCCAGAAAAGCAAAGACTCAAAGTGAAGGTAAAGTGGCCCAGGGAAAATAGAGAAAGAAAGTAAGGAGAGGAGAAATTCCCTAGCCGGTGTAAGGACAATTGAGTTGCTTATTAGAATATTGATAAGCCAGGATAAATGTGGGTGTGGTAGAGGAACGCAAATTCCTCTAGCTTGGAAGAAAACAGCTGTACACAAGGTCCCAGATGAGTCCTTGCTGTAAACTCCTTTGACGTTAACAGAATTATATCAAAGACATGAATCCCACAGGGGGCAAAATCAAATTAAGGGCTGTTTGCTTATGAGCTGAAGGCTTCATTAGCAATGGAAATGGGAGAATGGTCTGAAAGAGAGCATTTGAGGGCCATCTCAAGGACCAAGTTTTTCTGAAGTGCTACAGAAGTAATTCAGACAGCTGCTGGAGAGAAAGGGAAAGAGGTCGTTCTAAGCTTTCACTTGATTTTGGAGCCCGGGTGCACAGTCCTCTGGTTTCTGGCTCTGGAAGACCTAAATCCCAGATGGAGAATGCTGTGTAGTAAAAACCCCATCTGCCAGAATAAACAGAATTTTAATGCAGAAAAATAGGTATTCTCTGTCATGAATCTTTCATTAAGCCTTTTGAATACTGTTCAGCCATGTTATATTTACTGAATGCTCAGAGAAGACCTCCTGTGTAACTGCCTGGATTTGCAAAAACAGACTCCTAATGTAGAATGTAATATCTAGCTAGGGAAAAGCAGAAGAGAGGGAGGAAAGCAATGTATTGTACTGCATGTGTGGCTCAATTTGTTTCAATCAAGTTGGCATTCAAAAGGTGGATATATGCACATCAACTCTTGCTAGGCATGCCTGTCCTGTACAGATATCTCAGCGCTGTACTATCATCCCAGTCCTAACATGGTGAAATGCACAGTGTAATCCTTATTGACCTGAGAGATATAGGACTTGTGGTGGCTAAGAATAATGAAGGCAAAAAATGATTAAGTAATTTAAATGTTAAGTGGGATCTAAGACACCTGCTTCTAGCACAATCTTCTGTCCTCAGTGCCTGATACTTGTAAGGGAAAGCAGATTCGCATCACTTCAGCCGGAATGTCTGAAATTAAATTACCTAAAGCTGAGCTAGTCACTCAGACTCCCTTTATGGGTAAGGGAAAGAAATGAGTGCCTTCCAAGGGCCTTTCACCTGTGTCTGAGACACGTTGACCAAGATGAGATTAATTGCCCCCTGAGGGTACTATCTATCTCCATAGACGATAAATGGAGTCTGGAATCCTACACTCAGTCTTCAAAGTCAACGCCAAAGAAACTGCATTATTCAGTACTAACGAAAATAGATATTTCTTCACTAGCAGCATAGCTAACCGTCCTCACTGTCATAGCTTGGGTTCAAAGCATGACTAGGGAGATATGGGAGATAATTTTTCTGAAGCACTACCTCTGACTCAATGACAGCCACAGAAGACTGAAGGCAGGAAGAGTGCCTGCAGGAACATATTTACATGGATTTTGATGTCCCTTAGTATCTATTGGTGAAGGATGCCATCAAAACTGGACAGGTGGTCTGATTCCAACATTGCTGTTCTTATATTTATGTATGGAGGCCTAAGGAGAGATGTAAGGATCTTATCCCATCCCCTGAGCAGGACTTTCAGGGAAATTCCAATACTTCAAAAATCAGTTTTAATTTCTAATTTTGCAGGAAAATATAATTTCCCATGCACTAGAGACTACTATTTGTTTTTCATTATTTATGTTTGGAGGGGAGAGGGGGGAAAAAAATAAATCAAACTTTGTTTGACTGCTTCTGAAGAGAAAAACAAAACCAAAAGTAAAGAAAGAAGTATCAGTCAGCTGCCCTGATTCTTGGGAATTCCAGTGCTACTGTATTGGATTCCAGGAAAACTTGGGGAATCCCTGCCATTCAGGGAAATCTTTCACTACACAGCAGTTTCCTGGTTCACTGGGGATGCCTGGATCATGAAGACTTGCCAAGAGCTCAGCTGCTTCCTGGCAAGACGCTGATGTGGCCAAGGAGGCAGGAGGATTCTCACCAGCAAACCTTCTGGCTGCTCAGAGAACTTGTGTTGAAATGAGCCACTTCCAGGATGTTCTGAACCAAGGAGCATTGTCTCCTTCATTGCTCCAAAGATCATGGTTGCAGCAGAGAAGATAGGCAAAAAGTAGGAGAAAAGATGAGGTCCAGGAAACAGGAGAAGCTTACCTGGAGTTACTCATTGTTTCAGGGTTAAAGTAAGGAATAGGACCTTCATCAACTAAGTCCCAGTACACTACCTTGTCCACTGTTCCTCTCTGTTTCATCAGGACAGCCTAGTGGCTGACTTTAGGCAAAAAGGGAAAATGGTTTCCTTTTGAAATCCTTTTTGTTATTTTACATTTCAGCTGCTAACATCTTTAACTCCTCTGCTTTTATTTTCAAGGTATGTTTTATTATCACTATTCTACCATCACTGTTTTTTTTTTTTTTCCCATGCTACCTTACATGACTCCATTAACTGAGGCAGTCTCCAAACCTCTCCTTCAACATTAGCACATAAAATCATTTCCCTTGTGAGGAAGCTGGGAATGTTTAGTTGTTCTAGCTGAAGAAAAAGCAGTGCGAACTGCATGGATTTTTTCTTTCTTTTGTTGTTTTCTTTCCCCTTCAGCTGGTTAGCTCTATTGACGTAAGATTGGCTGGTGTTTACTTTTTGAATGGAAAGGGGGTCGGTTGCTCTTCACTAGCCTCCAACATCAGCTTTGAATTCAGCCCTCTTGATGCTGTAGATCTTCAGTCGTCACAACAACAGATTTGTTGTGAAGACATCTATAACTCGATGTTTAGTCTGACACTGGAGCTGCAAAGCTCATTAGGAGATGCAAAGTGTTCTGATGAGTGTTTGGTAAGGTTGTGCCAAGCTCAAGGGATGAATATTAAAAGATGTCCAGATGAGGAACAGCAAAATCATTCAGAGTTAGGTTAGTCACCACTAAGGAAAAGGCTTGAAATTAGACATACAAATCCTTAAAAACAATCTTGCATCTTTTGATGCCATTTATGTTTTAAAATGGAAGGGGAGAGGTGAAATTGGCTATTAGAAAAGAATTGACATCTTGGATAAACAACGCAGTTGCTTCATACACAGGACACTAGCTCATCTGTGTTTCTGGAACTTATCTTCTAGCCAGGACCTTAACTCAATGACTTCAGAGATGGTGTCCTTCCAGTTTTCTGTTTGATTTTCTGAATGCATCTTTAACATCTACTAATGGTGTCCTCAAGACTGTGCTTGCCTCCTGCCCACATGCTAAACCTTTGACCACGGCCTCTTGCATAGCTGGAGAGCATCT